ATTTCTATTTGCATTTTAGACTGACTGTGCCACTGCACACTTTCGCAGCATTCTCAGTGAAACAGAAAAATTGACGATACAAGTTCACAAGGAACAGAAATTGAATTTATCAATATACGTTCGCTAAGATGCTGGCATTTTCTACGGATTATCATGGTTCTCAGCACATGGGTAAAAAATGAAGGAAAGCTGGTTTGTAATCGTTGGAATGTCGGCCTTCTTTAGACTTTCATGACGGGTCAAATTCTAGCATCCCTGTTTTTATGAAGTTACTGGTGGGGCACTGATGTCCAATTCTATGTTATCAGCCAAGAATGCTTTAGTTTGAAGTGCAGAATTGACAGCAGTTATGTGAGAAGCGCAGTATGTATTTTCTTATTTCCTGCCGACTTATTGATTAGACTACTACTCATATATCAACCTCATAAATAAGAAGGGTGAGTGAACTCAACCGGGGTTAGAACTTTCGACCTCCCGGTTATAAGTTAGACGCTCTACCGACCGAGTAAACTTTACTTTGTTTGAGACAACGGGCTGTAAATTCCATTCTTAAGCGAATTCCTGCTAAAGACTAAAATTGTCTGCTGAGGGAATCGAAGTCGGGCTACCTCCAGAGTAAAGTGCACACTGTGCCACTACGCCGCTACGTCGAACTGTGGCTGCTTTACAATCGATTCTATTCGCTTCTCAAAATTTCCAGCTTAGTCTTTAATTTTTTAAATGTACAATGCCAAATGAGATGAACAAAAACGGCCACTCTTGACCTTTAACTTGGCTGACTGACAGCCAGTTAGTCACAAAAGCCGTTGTTTACAAGAGGTACATGTTTTTTAACAACTTTTGACAATCAATAACTGTTGTCTCCAATTCACAGAGGTGAGATGAAGATTGTAAAGCTTTGAACCAGTTCTTACGTTGGCTTTCTTGAATCTTGATCACTGATTGATGCCAAGGGGGTTATTTTCTTTCCCTCTCTTGATATCACAAAATATGTATTTTTTCTTTGCCCAACTTTCCTTCATTCTTGCCACTGAGTTTCCAGAGGAAAGGTAATGGGGGGAAAATGTCAT